TGCTATTCTCTGCCCTGCCTGAACTTGACTTGCCTTCCTTTGCCTTACTGTGGCTTGGCTATTGGGTGAAGCACAAGACTAATGAGGGAATGTAAAGCCCAGTCTTCTTTGCCTGGGCCTGGCATTATTGTGCTATTGTGTTGAAGACAAGACAAGCCATCCTTGCCTACCTTGTATTCCCATGCCTTTCCAGAGCTTGACTATTGAGAAGTCAAGACAAACCATGCTCTGCCTGTCCTTTTCATGCCTTGTCTTGCCTTATGTTGCCATGTTTTGACTGTCAATGAGAAGCCAAAGCCAACCCTTGTTTTCCCTTTACTTACCTTTCTTTGTCTTGCCATTCCTTGGTTATCAAGGGGAAACCAAGATAAAACTAACTAAGCCTTACCTTTACTTCCCTTGCCTTCCCTTGACTTTCCATAAGTGGGTTATTAATGAGAGGTCATGTGGGCTACAACCAGAAAGGTCATAGAGGCAAAGCTACACAAGCCTTTTGGAGAGAACATCACAGGGCCATGGTCCCCAGATGCTGGATGTAAAGCCACAGGATTTATTTGACCAGCTGGATTTGGCCCTATCCCTCCATTATATGCCCCTATGTCATTTTTTTGTAATGGAAATATTTACTCTGTGCCATTGTATAATGGATATATGTAACTTATTTTTATCTTTACAGGGGTAACACCCAAGGGTTTTCCTTGAGTCGCAGATGAGATTTTGAACTTGGATTTGGGGTAATGCTAGAATTGTTAAGACTATGGGGATTCTTGAAAATGGAATAAATGTATTTTTCACTGTACAATGGGTTATTCTTCATTGATCAGGAGTCAGGAATGGAATGTTATGGCTTATATAAATATATTCCACAGTCAATCATTTTCAGAGGTGAAATGATTAGATTATGAGAGGTGTGACCTAATTAGTGTATTGATCCACTGATGGATTAACTGGGCAGTAACCGTAGTCTGGTAGAGTATGACTAGAAGTAGGTCATTGAGTGTGTAACTTTGGGGTTTACATATTGTCCCTGTTAATAATAGCTCTCTGATTCCTAGTTCTATCAGCTGCTTTCCTCTGCCACACGCTTCTACCATGATGCTCTGTCTCATCCAAGGCCCAGAGCTGTAGATTCTGCCCAGCAGGGACTGAACCTTTGTAACCTTGAGACAAAATAAACTTAGTCTGCGTTATTCTTATCAGTTATTTTTGTCACAGTGATTACAATACTGTCTGAAATGCCTTGCTTTGCTCACCTTTGCCTTACCTTGACCTATCTTGCCATGGCATGGCTATTGATAGGAAGTTAAGCCAAAAATAAGGTAATCCTTACCTTGCCTTATCTTGCCTTGCTATGAATTTGACTTGCTTCTCTTTGCCATGGTTTGGCTATTGAGGGAAAGATTATTCTTGTCTTGTCTTACCTAGCCTAAACTTTTTTACTATGGTTTGGCTATCAAGGGGAAGCCAAGCCAAGCTAGGTCAAGTCTTACCTTGACTTGCCTTTACTTGATTTGCTTTGGCTGTCATGGGGAAACCAAGCCTTAGCTTGGTTATCAAGAAGAATCCAAGCCAGTCCAACTCTTACCTTGTTTTTTCTTGCCTTCTCTTTCCTTTCCATGGCTTGGCTATTGAGGGAAAACAAAGACAAGTCCAGCTTTGCTTTGCCTTGCAATTGCTTTGTTATTGAGGGGAGGTCAAGCCAAGCCAACCTCTCCTTGTCTTGCCTCACCTAACCATGGCTTCACTATCAAGGGAAGCCAATCCATGCAAGGCCAAGTCTTCCCTTGCCTTACCTTACATTGACTAGTAGCTGGGATCCAGGGTTGGAGCTGTCATATTCACACATTGAAGAGAGCTGTTAAATATTGGGATTCCATGCTCCTTCCCATCTGTGGCCACAAATATGGGTTGGGAGGTGAATCCAGAGTTAATGGGAAGTTTCATTTGAGTGAAACAGAACAACCTCCTGGAAGCCAGGGCAGAAGTGTCCATGGCTTAGGCCATGATGACCTGGAGGGATGTGGGGCATAGAAAGGGCTCAGATAGTGTGAGGAATGCTCCCAATGACCAAAGCAGCAAGGGACTGTGCCAGAGGAAGGCTCCAGGAGGAGAAACTGAGAAGGGGGAGAGCTGTTCAGGGTGTTGACACCCAAGTAAGACATGAGCTAGGGAGCCAAGAATTCAGATGTGTTGACTGAGGGGCTAGGATTGAGGACAGAGGTAATGATTGGGAGAATAGTGGAGACGGAAGGCACTAGGCTCTGATGTATGAGTGGGACTCTGAGACAGGAGAATCCACACACATTAAGGTGAGGAACAATATTTGGGAGGTGCTAAGAGTATCAGGGAGGGCAAAGTGGTACCTCTTTGTTGCTTTGGGATACAAAAGACCTGGGTCATTCCTAATTAGAGGGCCCTCCAGATGGGCTTTGACATAAAGAGGGTGGAAAGCCCCACTTCTGTTACAGGAGCAGTCAAGGCAGGAGTTGGTTTTATGAAGCAGTCCTTACCTGGATCCTAGGACTAGAATTTGGGGTCAAGGGACAGGTCATCTCTCTGGCTGTCCTTGATAATGGGAAGGAAGCAGAAGTCAGCAAGGTGACTGTGTCTGAGAATAGTGAATGTGAAGAGGGGCCTAGAAGTGGCACTGAGGGAGGAGAAGAGTATGTGCCATGAGTCATGCTCCCTCCCAAACCCACAGTGCACAAAGGTGGCCACTCGGACAAATCTTAGGGGGACCTTGGGCCCAAATAGTCCTGCCTCCTCCTGCACCTCCTGTGTTGCGCATTCCAGATGGGTGCTGGAGGAACATCAAGAGGAGGAATAGTTCTTATACTAAGCAGCAGGAGACAGCAGGAAGGCTGAATTTCAGTTTCAGATGGCCTGAGACTAATCTTTAAATACATTGTTCATGTACCACTTGTTTCTCCAGGTCTAGATATTGAGCAGTGACATGAAAACCCAGTTTGGGAGGAAGTGGCTACAGCAGAGGGTCCTTGCAAAGGAATTTTGCAATCTTGGAGTCTAGAATTCTTAGGGGTAGGTGTGCAATTCTTGGTTATATGTCTGCCACCCTCTCATACTGGGTGTTCCTCTGGGAAACCTCTGATGCCAGAGAAGTTGTTTTAGTCAGCTATTTCACTGCTGTGACCAAAAGATCTGACAAGAACAATGTACGGAAGGAAGGGTTTTATCTGGGGCTCACATTTTGGAGGTGTCAGTCCACAGATGGTCAGTTTCATTGCTGTTGGCCCAAGGTGGGGCAGAATATCATGACATGAGAGTGTGGAGAAAGAAAGCAGCTCAGGACACAGCACTAGGGAGCAGAGAGTGTGAGCACCACCCACCAGGGATGAAATATATACCCCAAAGACACACCACCATAACCTTCCACACCCAGCAACACCCTACCTGCCTACAGTACCACCCAGTTTATGAATTCAAGGGGATTCATGCATCAATTGATTGGATTAAGGTTTCCAAACCCAATCATTTCATCTCTAAACTTCCTTGCATTGTCTCAAACGTGAGATTTTGGGGGAGACTGCATATCCATACAAGGCACAATCCTTGTTTTCTTTTGTGGACAAGCTGCAGAACAGCCTGCAGTGTGATAAGGCTGGACCTTTCTGTGCAGCAACAGAAACCTCAAGTGGAGTTGCATGAGCTTGTGATGTTTTTTTTTTGTTGTGGCAGGAACTTACAGAGGTAAATCTGGGAACTCTGGTAGACTCTTTCTTAGCAGTTCTGGATATGAAGGTTTCTCTGCAGAGCTTCACTCTTAGGCATGAAGGAAGAACAGCCTCTACTGACCTCCAGGGGCCTAAATGAGAACCATGCATCCCCAGTACCATTGGAGACTATTCTATTATGATCATGCTTGTCCATAACCAGATGTGACCAAAGCAGCAGGGATTGTGCAAAAATACTGCAAACAGGGTGTCAAAAACAGATGTACAAAACCATGCAATTCCCAGCTCCCAGTATGCTGGCCTCCCTGGGCCTTGGGATACTCCATGTAAGGCCACCTGGGGGAAGGAAGGGATGCACATTGGGAAGTTTTTTGCCTTGGTCTGTCCTTCCTGATGCAATATCCAGTGTTCCTTCCTTCTCCTGATTCCCTGTAAAGGGGGACGCAGATGCTCATGTGTTCCAAGTCTGTGCCAGCAAAAAAAAAAAAATTTTTTTTTTGAAATCCCAGTATAGGGGCCACACCCCCTTTGTTTCAATACCCTGACTTATGCTGCTGTAGAGACCTAATTTCAGAGCCAAGCAAGAAGTGCCATCCTAACAGTGAGTTGGAAGGGTTGAGGGAGGAGAAGTAAAAGTACAGTCTTTGGTACCTAGGAAGAAGAGTGACTGGATTCTCCATGACATTCTGAGGTGCTGTCCTCACCCTTATCTCATTACCAGGAAAGGGGAAGCTCTGGTATTTTATAGTATAAAACCACTTTAAAGGGTTTCAAACGGAAGGACAGGGATATCTATGGTCTAGCATCTTTTCCTAGGAATAGTAACAGGCTTATTGTGCTCTGAGTCAGAAAATATGTTCAGAGAACTTTTCTCTCCTCAGCTGAACCCTGTTGTCCAGTGACAACAGAACCATCTAGAATCCAGTGCAATTCAGAGCAGAGTTGAAGCAGGGCAGGAAATTAAGTTTGAGCACTAGGGTCTCAGGAAGCATTGCTCTTGGAAGTTGAAGAGCATGGACTGATATACAAATGCATATGTGTGTGTGTGTGTGTGTGTGTGTGTGTGTGTGTGTGTGTATGTATGTGTGTGTATCTTTGGGAACTCTTTGCAACTGGGTGCTGGCCCCAGAGGATCTAGGGTAGTGATCAACATTGAGTTTGCCAGAATTTTCCCAGTGTTAGCAATTAAATTAAAATGTCTTAAATTTTACATGCTCACTCTCATATGACATTTTTGGCATTACCAATCCACTGGGTTCTTGTGAATGTGGAGATTGGAAATGCATGAACATCCCGTGCTTTCTGAAATAATTCAACTATATACATTTTTATTAACTTTTTTAAAAACACAAGAACATGGTTTTGTTCAACCATTAAAAGTTCAATCTTTCCATATTTAAAATATCTACCAGTGTTTTTACTCTTGAAACACTATTTCAGGTAATTGGCCCTCAGGACAATTTGCATTCCCTCTAGGGATTCCGAAATAAAGAGCCAAGGCGACATTCTTGCCTCACTCTTTGATTCTTCCAAGGAGTCCACCCTTCAGGCTTAGGACTCCAGGCTTATCTTTTCTTCATTTTCACCTGCTGCCTGGACCTGCCCAGGCTGTACTGCAGGGGAAAGAAGAATAGTGCAGGCTTTGACCTCAGCCTCATCAGAGCAGTGTGAAAGTAATGGAGTTTTGCATGGCGCTCCATCTTTGTCTTCCCCTTTGCTCTGTTCATCCATTCTGGACGACTTTGTTCCCATTGCCTACAAAAGAAACCATAAAGCATATTTCATTCATCCTTCATTCTTGCTTATTTTTTTCTAATGGAAATTATCTCTAATTTTATTTTTATTCTGAGCTTCTATTCTTCATACTCAAATCAGGTACATTTTATTTTTAAATTTTGCTACTGTGTCATAAATCATACTTGAAGAGAATTTTATGAAATAAACAGTTAAAACTCCAACAAATAGTAAAAATAACAAAAAAGACTTTTACTTTACCATATTAACTTATCCAAACAAACCGGTGTAGTGGGCTTTCCTCAGGGGTTGCTTATTTCCTCATCTGTCGTTGCTGAGCTATGTGCCAGGTAAAGGGCAATTTTTGTTGTGATAAAACTGACTGCTCTTTTCTCAATCTAGCTTGAGGAAAGTTGTTGTTACTTAATTTGAAGTTGAAATAGTTTCTGTGCGCAGTGAATGCGAAAACATGCTAATATGTATATTTTCCTATTATGATAGACCTGCAGTGTGAAAACAATTGGTTAAAAACTGGTTACAAACTTAGAAGACTCATGAAGTCCAGGAAGAATGACATTTTCACCTTTACCTGCACAATATCCAGTGTCTTAGGTGAATACTAAAAACAAAATTTACCAGGATGACCATAAAAAGTCCTCAATTCTCTGAAACAGAGATATGGTAGTAGTACAGCAAAGGGGGGGGGGGGGAAACAAGCATTTGTACAGCAGACTATGACTGAATTATACCATTAAATCTTTGAAAGCATTTACTTTACAACCCTTTGACAACTTCATATGTCAAACTATGAAAAGTTTTAGCACAATGCTAACAGAGTTATCTATTTGAAAATTATGAAGTGGAAAAATGAGAAAATGCCACCCCATCATTTTTGCTTGTTCCTTTCCATCCCACTGCCCTCAGGGCTCCCTGGTTTGACATAAATGTCTACACAGCCTCTTGGCCTAAATCATATCTACATTCCTAACAAAATTTTTAGTGGCAAAATTTATAGTTATGAGTAGATGACTTAATCCAATACCACTTTTCATTCAAGATATATGGAAACCTCTAGAGATAATGCACTATAGTTAAAAAATAGGGTGGAAAATTTTGACCCTGTCAACACACTAAGACTGTTATGAAAATGTCATCCTGGTTGGAGAGTGTAAAGAGAACAAGAAATAAGAGACATTTCACTGCCATTTGTAATGATGGAAAAAACAACCTTTAAAAAAAACAGACATGAATGACCCCCCAAGTTTATATCTGAAATATATGAAGTTGAATTAAATATCCCCCATTGTCCTTCCCTCAAATCTAGAACACTATTTTTTTCTTTGTTCAAATTAGTTACAAATGACAGTAGAATGCATTTTGACACATCATATGTAAATGGAGCATAACTTCTCAACCTGCTGGTTGTACATGATGTATAATTGCACCAGTCATGTAATCATATATGAATACAGGGTATTAATACCTGATTCACTGTACTATCCCTTCCATTCCTATACCCCCCCTCCTTCCCCTCCCTACACTCCCCTGTCTAAAGTAGGACAGTATTATTTCTTGGGTGTGTGTTGGGGTGGGTAGGGGGTAAGACAGGATCTTACTAGCTGAGTGTGGCACTGAACTTGTGATCTTCCTGCCTCAGCTGCCTGAATCATTGAGATTAGAGGTGTGCATCACCAAACCAGGCTGTTTCCCTAGACCCATGTCACCAAGGCTCCAGTTCATGCCTATATCTGCTTCTTTGTGGGTTCAATTCATAAAGAAACCAAGATTCACTTACCCTCTGACGAGTAGAGGTCTCTCTAGTGCCCGTTCCCGGACATGACTGAGGGTGCTCGGGCTGAGGCGTGGGGCTCTGGAGCAAGATGACTGGGAGACTGGTGATACTGGTCAACGGGCCAGTGATGATGGTCCTCCAAAGAAAAAAAAGTGTCGTCTGTCACACTAGTCAACTTCTATGCCTATCTACACATTATAACATGGAGTTTCCTGAACATTTAATGGTGATCTGAGAATAATCCAGTCTAAAATGGAATTCCTCAATACAAAGACAGAAATCATACTCTAAAGACTGATTTTGGAAGAGAGTAAAGAGTACAGAACGATTTCTTTAAGGAGAAATTCTTGGTCTTCTGAAAAATCAGGGAACTGAGGAGGAAAAACATCATCCCAGAGTTTGTGTTTAGGTGAGAAGCTGAGGCTGGAAATGTGCTCCAGGTCATGCTTCTTGCCCTTCTTCCCAGGACAATGAAGGTTTTTGCAATGACCCCAGACCAAATATTCCTTATGTTATTCACCCGTTGGGAGTGCCCTTCACACAAGAAATAAACAGTAAGGAGAGAACATGAAGGCACTACTGAGTCCTCAAAGTTCAGAAGGAAAAAAATCCTATTCCTTCTACATCTATATCCCACAGTAGTTTTAAGGATGTGCCTGTGAGAGAACTGGGTCCCACAAGATTCCCTCCATCAATATTCAAAACTCAAACAGTCCTCTCAAAACTCACAACCTCTCCACAATCCCCAAGGAGTGCACTAATAATCACAACTCAAAGCTTTGCTGTTTAGAAGTGCCAGAGGCAAGAAAGAGCATGTGTTCTGGAAAGATCTTTAAATATCAGCAAGAAATGAAGTACATTTAAAACTCACAGACACAGCACCTGTTACCATGAAACCATTAATCAAAAGAACAAGACTCACTTTCAAACTTATTTTCTTTTTTCTCCCTTCTTGCCTCAGCCTCCTCAGCAGAAGGTATAACCTGACTATTCCTAAGACACTCTTCCATTTCAACCTACCTGGAATGTGGTTTACCTACCTGCACCATAGTCCTCCCAGTCACTGCTAATGCTTTCAATCTCCCATTCCTCGGCAGAGGCAACTGGAGGAAAGTCGACATAAAGAGTGACTTGCCCGTTCCTCCCTGTATCAGGTGAAGCCACTTTGGCTCACACAGGATTTATCTAGTCTTCCCTGTGGTTCACAGGGTTCCCCAGGAGCCTCCATGGTCACAGCTCCCGATTCATGAAAATCATTTTGTCTCGCTGAACCCCCGCAATCCTCCCTCCCAGCAGAAACCCAGAATCAAGATTCTCTAGACTAAAATCAGTCAGGTATTTTCTCAGCAACAGAGTGATTTCAGAATACATGCCTTTGTTGGTAATAGGAGAAATCTGCAATTAGAGAAAATAAAACACTATAAGGATCAGACAATGCTGTACTTTTTGGGAGACAGTGCAGGGGGGAAACTGGGAATTGAACCCAGGGGGCACTTCACTACTGAGCCACATCCCTAGCCCTTTTTTATATTTTATTTAGAGATGGTCTTACTTAGTTGTTTAGGGACTCACTAAGTTGCTAAGGCTGGTTTTGAACTCTCAATCCTCCTGCCTCAGCCTCCCAGCCCTTGGGATTACAAACATGCACCACCACGCCTGGCACCATGTGGTACTCTTTATATAGATCAGTTTTACTCTTGATGACTTAAAAAAACAGATAAGGAATATAGTGTAGCAAAAGTTCATATACTCCAAAAACGATGGTAGAGGATACCAAGAAAGAGCCCTTCTTGCAGAGCATACCTCTCAAGTCCATTTAGATTTTGTATTCACAGTCCTCAATCCAAGGAGTAAAACTGATGCATAGGGAAAAGCTTCTACTATACATTTTATAAAAAAAGATGCAATTTGTAACTCGGGGGTCAAGTGTCAGTTGGTTGTAGATTCCCATTCAACTCTACCCAACCAATGACATTATGTTTTTTCAGCGATAAGGTACCTGGTAAGATTCTGGTATCTAAATTTGATTGAAAATAGAACTACATTTCTATATGAGACATAAAATGTGGTCTTACGCTTTGCAGTGAAGGCATATCATCCAGGTCGTCTTCAGGGAAATCTAGGATGAAACAGAGTAATTGCTAGTGTGTTTGGTTATTGGTGATTATGGATCACTTGGGGAGCTTTCTTGGTATAGACACAGGGGTGGAGTGTAGGAATGTTCATGGATAACAAGCATCTGAGTGGAAGGAGGTTTGGAAAAAACAGGAACAGGAAACAAATGAGACACAGAGGCTTGGCCTTGTAGCAAAAGGCATCATAAATAGCCCAAATAATCTAAAACAGTACTAAAATGCACAGTGTGAATCATTGTAAGGATCCCTTCATTCCACCCACATTTTGTAGGGATTTTTTATTTGTTTGATTTTGGTACATTAATGTTATATAAAACTGTGGAGTTCATTTTAGCACAATCATAAATTCATATAATATATTGTGCTCACGTAAAATTTCCTCCAATCCTTTCCCTTTCCATCCCCCTCTCCTCCCTCCTCCTGATCCTCATCCTCTCATTTCCAGGTTTATTTCAAATTTATTTCCTAAATTTGTGTATTATAATTATACATAAAAGAAGAATTCATTTTCATGGATGCATACATGCACCTAGCATGATTTAATCTATTTTGTTCTGTTTCCTTTTACCACCCTACTTTCCTTCCCCTCAATTCCCTTCCTCAACTTCACAGTTCTCTTTTTTATTCCTATTTCTCTGCTGTTTCTGCATATGAGAAAAAATTTTTGAAGCTTGACTGAGTCTGGCTTAAATCATTTAGTATGATTTTCTCAAGTTCCTATAATTACCAGAAAATGACATAATTTCATTCTTTTTTATGGCTGAGTAAAATTTTATGGCATATATGTACCACATTATCTTTATCCATTCACCTGTTAATGAGTCCCTATGCTGCTTCCGTTACTTGGCTATTATGGATAGTGTGCTCATAACATTGGTATGCATGTCTCACTCTATTATGCTGACTTTAGGTTTTCTGTGTAAATACCCAGGATTGGGATAACAAAGTCATGTTTCCATCCCTAGTCTTTGTAGAAATCTCCTTACTGCTTTCCAAGTGGGTTGTACTAATTTGCAGTCCCCACCAACAATGCATAAATATACCTTTTCTCCTACATTCGCAACAGAAATTGTTATTTGTTCTTGATAATTGCCATTCATTTTAACTGAAATGAGATGAAATCTCATTGTAATTTTGATTTTCATTTCCTTGATTATTAATGGTAGTAAACCTTTTTCATATATTTGTTGTCTGTTTGTATTTCTTGTATTGAGAAATGTTTATTTAAAACTTCTGCATATTTGTTGATTAGTTTGGTTTTTTATATTAAGGGTTTTTTTAGTTGTTTATATGTTCTGGAAATTAATCCCATAGAATATGAGTAACTTCCATGAGGCTTGAGTTCATATACATTAAGGGTGTGCAATGTTTGTGTTCATGAGGAGTTTTAATTTTTAGGAAGTTGAAAGGAGCAATTAACTGTACTCTCTTAGTGGGAAATAATACATGGAATCAAAGATATTCACAATCACACGTCACAGAACCACAGTAGGCACCCCAATCATCAAAGACACAACCTCACATAAATCTAAGGTGAACACCATTCTCCAAGAGGTAGAGAAACCTGGCTTTAGGTTTTTTCTCAAGTTTTTCTTGGAATATCCTCTTTTCCTCCAGAAACCCAGAATTAGGGTGACTCTTCAAAGAGAAGCTTTGAAGACACATGTCTGCAAAGCAAGATTGTTTTCCTCGCCAAGAAATTTCAGAATACTTACTGTCATCAAGTTGTTTCGAGAACTCCTGCAATTACAGAAATGAAAGCATTGTGAGCACTATGTCATGCTGTGAGCATATAGTTTTTATTCTCTTAATATTGAAAGCACTTGAGAAAAACTGGAAAAAGTCAAGGGTTCCCCAAAACAGCAATAAGGGTAAACCTTTGGAAGGCACACGAGTTTTTCCCCACAGATTGTACCTCAAATCTGTTTGTCCTCAATTATAAAATTCTTAATCCAAAAAGGAGAAATTTCTTGAAAGGAAAAGCACACCTAGCACAAAATTTATAAACTGATGCTGTGATTTGCAAATGTGCTTTTGCAACCAATATCTGTCAAGAAGGGTCTATTTTTCCACCACTTCAGAAAACAGAATCTAATAAGGATAATGTTCATTTTCCTGTTTTAACAGCTGTATTTAACTGAAAAACAGGAAATTCAGAAAGCAATATTTATATTAAAATCCATTAAGTTCATCTTACCTCAGTAAGGTATGATTCCTTGTCTTCCTCCCTTGAAGATAACTCTTGCTCTATCTCCTCCTGAATATCTAGAAGGACAGAGTGTCACTATCAGTCACTGGTGGTGTTGCTGATGACTTACTCAAGACACCTCTGCTAAGACTTAGAGGGAAAAGGAGAATTGCAACGTTGGGCTGCAAAAAGCACAGATTGAATTATTGCAGGAGCATCCTGATCAGAGGAAGTAGACAATGAGGAGAAGGAAAGGCATGAGAAATTGAACTCATGAGTTTCTGCTGAGGGGAAATCAAGAAAAAAGAGTTAATCTTCAATGGTAGTAGAATACCATCATTCATAGTGCTTGTCTTGAATCTCAGATAATTACTGTTTTAAAATACATGAAACAATTGAAGCTATGATTACTGCTGAAGGCCACGTAATAAAACTCTTGAGGATAAATTCTCATGGATTACAATCCAATAGTGTTCAAAAGAGTATGAAGAAAAAAGAAGGTGGACTACAGGAATTCAGTGTTTCTTGTAGCTCAGTGACCCGGGATTCAAGCAGCAGGAATGCTGCTTCTCTGGGAGACAAGAGACAGAAGGACTTCACTAAAACTCAATATTGGGCAGCCAGAGTGTCTTAGACTGAAATTTTGGGTACATTAAACAAGAAAAAGGGACAAAATTAGAGTTAAGCTGCTTTCAGGAACATCAGAATTACATCATTAGGTTGGAAAAAGTTGAGAAGTACTATGGTCAGTTTTAGAGTAGAAAATTCTATGATTGGAGAGGCAGGCTACTAATAGCCCAATTCTGTCATTCTTTCACTCTTTTATATTTCTATGTTTTCTGCTCCCCCCTCATAGACATCACAACCTGTGTTGCTTTTGCATTTCTCCAGTTCACCTTTTGAAATTTCCAACCCTTTCCTCCTATCTCTTCTTTCCTCCTATCTCTTCTTTCCTCCTAATTAACTCTATATAGACTAATTGGTTTGTATAACACCAGACCCCACCACTAATGCTATAGTAATAATTAATACAGTTGAGAGTCATAGGTAACACCTCTTGCTTGATTTTATGCCAGACCTAACACATGAATACTTACTGGTTTTACTTACAGCAACTGCAGGTCCTACCATTTCTGCTTATTATGCCAATTAATATTGTATATGCCATAATAGAAACCAAGTACTTAGTTTAATGCTATATATTGTTTGTATAGGTTGTTGTTATTATTTGGCTATTCCAAATTTGTGAAGTACTGGAAACCTACAAGAATACTACAAATCAATAGGGTATAAACTCTGCTGCTTCAGATCCATTCAGATAGATGGGAGACAAACAATATGAAAAAGCAAGGGAACAAACTTTCTCAAAGAACCCATAAAATGCCTAAACAACAAGCTCAATTGACACCACATTAGAGGAAACATCAGAGAAGGCATTTAGAAAATTCATAGTTAAACTGATTTATGAGGTAAAAGATGATGTAAGGAGTGAAAGCAGAGAGAAAATACAAAAAGCAAAAGATCATTTCAATGAGGATAAAGATTCTGAAAAGAACAAATTTGAAGTACTCAAAATGAAGTAATCAATAATCCAAATTAAGAATTCATTGGAAAGCATTACCAGTATATTATACCACTTGGAAGACAGATCTTCAGGCCCCGAAGACAAAGTATATAATCTTGAAAATAAAGCTCAGCATAGAAAAAAAGATGATAAGAGATCATGAACAGAATATTCAAGAAATCTGAGATAACATTAAAAGGCCAAATTGAAGATTCATTGGTATAGATGAAGGCTCTGAAATACAAATTAAAGGAATGCATAAACCTTTCAGTGAAATAATTCAGAAAATTTTCTAAATATTAAGAATAAAATGGAAACTCAAATATGGAAGATGAACAGGTCACCAAATACACAAAATTACAACAGATCCACTATAAGACATATTATTGCCTAACATACAGAACAAGGATAAAATTTTAAAACCTACTAGTGAAAAATGACTGGTCTCATTTAGAGGTAAACCAATCTGGCTCTCAACTGATTTCTCAACCCAGATTTCAAAGCTAGGAGGCCTCAGAATAATACATACAAAGCTCTGAAAGAAAGTGGATGCCATCCAAGAATACTGTACTCAGCAAAATTAAGATTCAGAAGTGAAGTTGAAATAACAACCTTTTGTGACAAATTAAAGTTAAAGCAATTCACAACTAGAAAGCCTGCACTACAAAACATACTCAGTAAAACCTTTCATGAAGAAGAAATGAAAAATAAAATAAAAAACCAGCAGAGAGAATTACAATAGAAAAACTGTCAATCGAAGGAGAATCAAATTCAATTTAAACACTAGAAATAAATCAAAATTACATGAAATAAAAGTCATCTCTCAATAATAACATTGAAGTAAACGGTCTAAACACTTCAATCAAAAGACAGGTTGGTAGACTGCATTAAAAAACAAGATCCAACAATATGCTGTGTCCAAAAGACTCACCTCATAGGAA